ATTGTTACTCAGGGACACAGAATCGTTACTCAGGGACACAGAATTGTTTACTCAGGGACACAGAATTGTTACTCAGGGACACAGAATCGTTACTGAGGGACACAGAATCGTTACTGAGGGACACAGAATTGTTACTCAGGGACACAGAATTGTTACTCAGGGACACAGAAATTCTTACTCAGGGACAGACACAGAATTGTTTACTCAGGGACACAGAATCGTTACTCAGGGACACAGAATCTATTACTCAGGGACACAGAATCGTTACTGAGGGACACAGAATTGTTACTCAGGGACACAGAATTGTTACTGAGGGACACAGAATCGTTACTGAGGGACACAGAATCGTTACTCAGGGACACAGAATCGTTGAATTAAAGAGTATGTCAGACAACACGCAGAGGAGTGGCAGAGGAGGCAATGTTTCAGGAGCGAGCAGACGTGGCAGCAGAGGAAGGGGTCGAGGCAGCACTAGTCGCAGCCAGAGGCCAGTGCTCCCGGTGTCATCCAGCGGTCGTGTCTCCACCGACAACCCTGCGTCATCAATTGGTTGGCTCGGTCGTCTTCCTCTTCCCAGGTCACCTCTGACACCTACAGCCAACGGTCGGTGGGTACGTCAGACACAACCGTTAGTTGGTATGCCCGGGAGCAAGCCCACTGAAATCACGTGTCCTCTACCTGCCCCTGTCCTTTGGTGATGTCCCCTCACCAAGCGAAGTATCGCATGCTGTGGGCTCAGCCCCACTGTACAGTGAGGAAGAGCTAACAGAGGGCGGTCAGGAACGGGGGAGACATCCGCCTCTTCAGCAGCCAGAAGAAGTACTGGCGAGGAGAGTGGCTCGGTAGCCGGTCTAGAGACAGGTCTGTCTCCTGACCCACACGCAGCCGAGGGGGCTAGTAGTGAGGCGGAGACCCTAATTGATGATGATGAGGCTGATCGCACTTGGCAGCCTCGTCGTCATCAGGCTATTGCTTCTGCATCATCAGGAGAAGAGGGTGCCAGCTTGGCAGCGAGAGCAAAACAGTCGGTGGGTTGCCCAGGAGGCAGCAGGGTCGCAGCAGTGTCAGTGGAGGGCCAAACGGCACGGAGTAGAGCACCAGCTCCACTGCACCTACCACCACGGCCAGTAGTGGTGCCGGTGTGCACGGAGGAAGTAGCCGTCAGCCAGTGAGGAGTAGCGGGGGCAAAGTTTCCTACTCCGGCGGGTGTGGCAATTTTTCGTCAAGCCGCCCGAGGAAGTAAACGTAGCCGTTTATGTCGACTATGTGGCCAGAAAGTCAAGCGTGGCCAGGGGGCCCATGTTGGGACTACAGCGTTGCGTCAGCATATGCAGCGTCGCCATTCGGTGGCCTGGGAAAACCGTGATAAAGATACGGCGTTTCTGCCTGCCCCAGCCCCCGCTCCATCACCCGCTCCGTTACTTGCTCCGTCACCCGACGTCAATCGCCCTCTATCAGCCAGTCAAGGCTCCAACACCTCTGCTGAGGGGAGTTGTCGCTCGTTGGCATCTTCCGCTCGTTCAGATGCTCCTTCTCCTGCTACTCCTCTTCACGGATTCCGTCAGCAGTCTTTCTTGGAATCCGTTTCCAAGAGACAACAGTTTGCGAGCACGCACCCGACGGTGCAGAAGCTGAACGTCCTCCTGTCCAAGTTGCTGGTGCTGCAGTCCCTCCCTTTCCAAGTGGTGGACTCAGCACCTTTCCGAGAAATGATGGCTTGTGCCGAGCCGCGGTGGAGAGTGCCAAGCCGTCATTTCTTTGCCAAAAAAGGCAGTGCCAGCCCTGCATTCACATGTAGAAGAGATGGTGGGCCAGTCTTTGAGCATGTCGGTCTCTGCCAAAGTGCACGGCAGCGCCGACGTGTGGAGCTGTAACGTACGGTCAGGGACAGTACATGTCATTTACGGCCCACTGGGTGAACGTGGTGCCGGCACAGCCGCATTAGCAACTTGGACAGGTCACGCCGCTTTTGCCTCCACGTTTTGCACGTCCTTGGTCCAGCAAAGATGTCCGCCTCTACCACCCTCTTCTTCCGCCGTGTCCTCAGCCGCCACCTCACCGCCCCGTGCCAAGTCCCATTACCCGACCCGGCATATCACATGTGCAGGCGCAACGGTGTCACGCTGTGCTGCACCTGGTATGCCTTGGCGAACGTAGTCACACAGGGGAGGAACTTTCTGAGTGTAATGAACAGAGAAATCGACAGATGGCTGTCTCCGCGCAAACTGAAAATCGGAACCATGTTGACCGACAACAGGAAAGAACATGGTGTCTGCTCTGCGTCAAGGAAGGTTGTGCCATGCGCCATGCATGGCTCACGTGTTCAATCTGGTTGTCAAGCGGTTCCTAAAATCCCACCATCCCACTGCAAGACATCCTTAAAATGTCACGTAAACTTTGCATGCATTTCAGCCATTCCTACACCGCAAAGCACACCCTCCTTGAGCTGCAGCGGCAGAACGGAATTCACAGCATCGCCTGATCTGCGACGTTGCAACAAGGTGGAATTCAACCCTACACATGTTAGACCGCCTTTACGAACAGCGAAAGGCCATCAAACCGATTTTCCTGATGTTACAAGCGGATAAAGGTACTCCCCTGTGTAACTTCGATGTCAGCCATTGCAGCTCATGCGTGACACCTGCCGCTTGCTCAGGCCCTTTGAGGAGGCCACGCTATTCGTGAGTCGGCAGGACTATATGGGAATGAACGACGTCATTCCTCTGTTGCACGTCCTGGAACAAATGCTGTTAACAATGGCTGGTCAGGGTGCGGTAGACGTGGCGCACAGATCTCAACATCACATGACCCCTGTGGGGGCAGGACAGGAAGAAGAGGAGGAGGTAGAGGAGGACATTTGTGCTCAGGAATTATTGAGTGAAATGGGTGGTTTTTCCACTCAGCGGACAGGAGTGGAGGAGCAGGAGCATCTGGTAGAGGAGGAGGAGGAGGAGACAGAGGACCCAGACGCACCGTGGCAGTATGCTGTGGAGATGGAGGCAGGGAGTCCCTCGCATTTCCTTGGCACAAATGGCCCATAGCATGCTCGCTTGCTTGCGTAGCGACAGCAGCGAATAATAACCATCAGACAGAGGGATGACTTTTGGCTGTCCACCTTGTTGGACCCCTCGCTACCGTTCAAAAAATGGTGGCCTTTTTCACACCTGCTGAGAGGGAGGCCAAAATAACGTACTATAAAAACCACCTATGTAGTCAGTTGGTCTCTGCCTTTGTGCGCCAACGTCCATCCTCAGACACTGTGGGCCCTGTGCGCTCGCGTTCCGCTGCCATGGCAGCAGGGGGAGGGGTGGGGTGGTAGGAGCAGTGGCAGCTCCACCAGCAGCGGCTGCCTCAGTCTGCAGTCGATGATGAGTAGCTTTCTTCACCAGCGCAGTGAGGAAACTACTAACCAGCCGCAGCTGGGCTTAGGCCTACTTGGACAGCACCCTGCCAACCGAGGTAGACAATCCCCTTGACTACTGGGCAACGAAACTTGACCTTTGGCCCAAACTAGCTGAATTTGCCCTTGAAAGGCTGTCATGCCGGCCAGTAGCGTGGGCATCGGAGTGCGTGTTTAGTGCGGCAGGAGGTATTGTAACTCCGCGGAGGACACGACTGTCCACCCAAAGTGTGGAGAGAGACTCACGTTTGTGAAAATGAATCAGGCGTGGATTAGTCTGGATTTCAAACCACCAGTTCCTGACACAACTGACTAAATCCGCCATGAATCATGCCCCCAAACATGTTATTATTTTTAAACATAGGCCTCTGTATGGCCTTCAATTTAAGCTGCTTACGCTTCGCCACTCTGCCATGGGCCCCTGTACCGCCTCCTCTTGCTGCTGCCAGGTCCAGAGTGTGTCATGGGTCCCTGTACGGCCTCCCATTGCTGCTGTCTCCATCGCCACACTCTGCCATGTGCCACTTTCAGGTCTCCTCACACTGCTGGTGGGTTCCATTTTGTCATAGGGTGCTGGCAGATTACGGGCCTCCCCATTGCTGCTGCCAGGCCGTAATCTGCCATGGGCCCCCGTACCGACTCCTCATGCTGCTGCCAGGGCCGTAATCTGTCATGGGCCCCTGTACCCCGCCTTCTCATGCTGCTGCCAGTCCAGAGTGTGTCATGGGTCCCTGTACGGCCTCCCATTGCTGCTCGTCTCCATCGCCACACTCTGCCATGTGCCACTTTCAGGTCTCCTCACACTGCTGGTGGGTTCCATTTTGTCATAGGGTGCTGGCAGATTACGGGCCTCCCATTGCTGCTGCCAGGCCCGTAATCTGCCATGGGCCCCGTACCGACTCCTCTCATGCTGCTGCCAGGCCCGTAATCTGTCATGGGCCCCTGTACCGCCTCCTCATGCTGCTGCCAGGTCCAGAGTGTGTCATGGGTCCCTGTACGGCCTCCCATTGCTGCTGTCTCCATCGCCACACTCTGCCATGTGCCACTTTCAGGTCTCCTCACACTGCTGGTGGGTTCCATTTTGTCATAGGGTGCTGTATGGCCTCCCATTGCTGCTGCCAGGCCCGTAATCTGCCATGGGCCCCCGTACCGACTCCTCTCATGCTGCTGCCAGGGGGCCCGTAATCTGTCATGGGCCCCTGTACCGCCTCCTCATGCTGCTGCCAGGTCCAGAGTGTGTCATGGGTCCCTGTACGGCCTCCCATTGCTGCTGTCTCCATCGCCACACTCTGCCATGTGCCACTTTCAGGTCTCCTCACACTGCTGGTGGGTTCCATTTTGTCATAGGGTGCTGGCAGATTACGGGCCTCCCATTGCTGCTGCCAGGCCCGTAATCTGCCATGGGCCCCTGTACCGACTCCTCATGCTGCTGCCAGGCCCGTAATCTGTCATGGGCCCCTGTACCACCTCCTCATGCTGCTGCCAGGTCCAGAGTGTGTCATGGGTCCCTGTACGGCCTCCCATTGCTGCTGCCAGGCCCGTAATCTGCCATGGGCCCCCGTAACGACTCCTCATGCTGCTGCCAGGCCCGTAATCTGTCATGGGCCCCTGTACCGCCTCCTCATGCTGCTGCCAGGTCCAGAGTGTGTCATGGGTCCCTGTACGGCCTCCCATTGCTGCTGTCTCCATCGCCACACTCTGCCATGTGCCACTTTCAGGTCTCCTCACACTGCTAGTGGGTTCCATTTTGTCATAGGGTGCTGTATGGCCTCCCATTGCTGCTGCCAGGCCCGTAATCTGCCATGGGCCCCCGTACTGACTCCTCATGCTGCTGCCAGGCCCGTAATCTGTCATGGGCCCCTGTACCGCCTCCTCATGCTGCTGCCAGGTCCAGAGTGTGTCATGGGTCCCTGTACGGCCTCCCATTGCTGCTGTCTCCATCGCCACACTCTGCCATGTGCCACTTTCAGGTCTCCTCACACTGCTGGTGGGTTCCATTTTTTCATAGGGTGCTGTATGGCCTCCCATTGCTGCTGCCTCCACCGCCACACTGTGGCTCCACACTCTGGTTTTGGCCCCGTGACTGCCCAAATGAGTGAAGTGTGCGGTGATTCTAAGATCGACGGCACTCATCTGCATGTCATACTGACTGACAGTATTATTTTCTCTTCCCCAGCAGACTCCAAGGGCATTTAAATTAAAGGTACAGTGTTCTGCACTAATTATAAAGGCTCTCTGAAGCCTAGAAACACACCCTTTTTATAAGTTAAATTCGCAGCGAATATATTCGACTCGAATCGAATTTATTCCGCGAATTCGCCGAATCAGTCGAATCGAATTTTTGAATAATTCGCTCATCTCTACTTATGTGCATTGTTTATTGCTGACATTGTTTATTTGTTAATTGTGCTGTTTTATGTGCTAATTATGGGCAGCACAGCGGGCTAAATGGTTAGCACTTCTGCTGGCAGTACTAGGGTTGCTGGTTCGAATCCCAGCCATGGCACCACCGGCCTGGAGTTTGCATGTTCTCCCTGTGCCTGCGTGGGTTTCCTCCTGGTACTCCGGTTTCTTCCCACACTCCAAAGACATGCTGATAGGTGAATTGGCTCCTGTCTAAATTGGCCCTAGTATGTGTATGAATGTTAGGGACCTTAGATTGTGCACCCCTTGAGGGTTAGGGACTGATGTGAATATACAATATATATGTAAAGCGCTGCATAAATTGATGGCACTATATAAGTACCTGAAATAAATAATAATTCTGTCTAGTAGTACAGGACTCTATTCTAATTTACCTTTGCTTACATTAGGGATTACACTGTCTAACTATGTATGAAGCTACCTTCTGTGTTCATATATGTTTAAATCTTTTATGCTAACCCACACCATAGGGTTGCCACCTCATCCCTTTAAAACCAAACACATACTAATTACACAGGTTTTGTGACAGATTAAGGTGGTAATTAAACTCACTTAGTGCCTTATCAGCAATAAATTAGCCTCAGAACCTGCGTAATTAATATGTGTTCAGTTTAAAAGGGATGAGAAGGCAACCCCCACCGCACCAATACATTGAGTTAATTCACCACTTATGCAGGCCATAGATGGGGAGAATACCAGCCGATTTTTCTTTAAAAAAAACAAAAAATCGGTTGTTCAAGCGCTAATCGGTTACCAGGAATGGTGAAAAAAAAAATCGGCCAATTTTCATCCCGTCTACAGCTGGCTAAAAAAAAGTGTCCTGCAGAGAGCTCTGCTATTTCTTTGACAGTTCTTTGACATTTATAGCGGATGCAACAATGTATCTATTTGTATCCATTTGGCTATGAATGTTTTTTATGCAGAAACAAATAGATACATTGTTGTTGCAACCGCTATAAATGTCAAAGCACTGTCAAAGAAATAGCGGAGCTCTCTGCAGGGACACTTTTTGCTGGACTGGAATTTCTTCTTCATCTTCTTCTTTTTCTTCTTCTTCTTCTTCATCCTCTTCTTCATCCTCTTCATCCTCTTCTTCATCCTCTTCTTCTTCTTCCTCTTCCTCTTCTTCTTCTTCTTCATCCTCTTCTTCTTCTTCTTCTTCATCCTCTTCTTCTTCTTCATCCTCTTCTTCTTTTTTTCTTTTTCTTCTTCTTCATCCTCTTCTTCTTCATCATCCTCTTCTTCATCTTCTTCTTCTTCATCCTCTTCTTCTTCTTCATCCTCTTCTTGCTCATCCTCTCTTCTTTTTCTTCTTCTTCTTCATCCTCTTCTTCTTTTTTCATCCTCTTCTTTCATCTTTTCATCATCCTCTTCTTCTTCATCTTGTTCATCATCCTCTTCTTCTTCATCATCCTCTTCTTCTTCTTCTTTTTGTCTTCCTCTTGCAGGTCACTGCTCATGCGCAGATTTTTTATCGGTAAAAAGATCGGCCGATTTGCCCCATAATTGCCGTGAAAATCGCCGATCGGCAAAATAGGCCGATCTTTTTCCAACTTTACAGATAAAAAAATCTGCCAAAATACCGTAAACGGGCTGAACAATTAGCCCACTAACAATCCGAAAAATCGGCCGATTTTATTTTCGGCCGAAAAATCGTCCGTTTTCGACCCATCCATGGCCTGCATTAGTCCTCATGCACACAATGTTTTTACAGCTGCTGTTTTTGGCTTTTGACTTTTTTTTCTATAGCTAGTAACCCCCCCAGCATGTTATCTTATGTGTCCATGCACACATAGACTGTAATCATTGTTTTTTGGCTGCAATGTTTTTTTGGTTGGAAAAAATACCCAGGACTAGTGGGGTTTCTAGAGTTTTTTTTTAGCTGTAAAAATGCTGTAATGCTGAAAAATGCGACGAAACGCAGCAAACCAGCATTTATGGATTTTTTTTACTAAAAAAATTTTGGAGGGTAAAAAAACCCTAAAAAACGCGAACGAGGAAAATGCAGGAAAACGCTGCTAATCGCAGCTAGACGCTAATGCAAAAATGCTAAAAAAAAAGCTGAAAAACTTTACACAGCTAATGTTACCAGCATTATCAAAACATCCAGTGTGCATGAGGGCTAAATGGTCTTGTGTCTATTTCCTATTACTAATTCACAGCCAAATTAAAGGTATCTATACTCATGTATATATTATTTCATTAGCGCTGCACTGTATGTTTTACAATTTTTAAGAGGGCTTTAAGATTTCCTTTTAGTGCATTTGCTGCTTCTATTCCATTTTAGCGCTCACTGAATTGCACTTTTATCTATACTCATGTTCACTCATGTTTCTTATAAGTTCTTGCAGTAACTTTCATTCAAGAAGGTGTGTCAGAGTTTAAGCAAGCACACAAATAACCTGTTGATCTTGTCAAAAATACAGTGTTCTTTTCACATTCTTGTGCTGGAAGCATAAAACATTATCTTTTTTTCTGTAACCTAATAATTTTATCATCATCGATTTATTAGAGATGTACAAAGAAAGACATGCTTGAAGCTCCCTCCATAGATACAGTGAAAGAATAAGCATACATACCTGCCACAGGACAAAGTGTGTGTAATTCAGAGTTACCAGGTGAAAAAAGGTTCAAAAAACCTAATGCAGCCATCTCACCTAAGGATGGTTAAACTGCAATATACCATTTTTGTTGTTTAGTAGATAGGCTTTAACTGCTTTCCTGCCGCCCTATAGCAGATATACTGCTACAGGGTGGCAGAGGTGCACGAAATCACGTGTGTGTGTGTGTGTATATATATATATATATATATATATATATATGTGATTTTACATTTTCGTGTAGGGTGCGCACATGCCCTACCCGCGCCGCTATTCGTGGCCTCAGCTGTTAATTACCGAGTCCCGGTGATCACGGAGCATTACCGATGGAGGGAGAGAACTGTATGTAAACAATACAGTTCTATCCCTTGTCAGCTCCTGCACACATCTTTGCATGGCTGTGCATAACACAGTTGTGCTTACAGTTGAAAGCACTAACACAGCCCACAGTAAAACAGCCCACAGTTAACCTTTTCATCACCCCACATGTTAACCCCTTCGTTCCTGCCCAGTGCCATTAGTAGTGTCAGTGCTTTTTATTAGCACTGATCACTGTGTTGGTGTCACTGGGGATGTCAGTAACACCAAGTCAGTTCCCCCCCAGTGTCAGAATGCCCACCGCAGTCCTGCTATAAGTGGCTTATTGCCGCCATTACTAGTAAAACTTAAAAAAAAAAAAAAATTCCAGTATACACCATGTTCCAAATTATTATGCAAATTCTATTTAAGTGTCACAAAGATTAAATATTTTGTTTTTCAGTTTAACTCATGGATGGCATTGTGTGTCAGGGCTCTTTTGATCACTGAAAACAATCTCGGACACCTGTGATAATTAGATTGGCAGGTGAGCCCAATTTAAGAAAAAAACCACTAAAGGAGGGTGTTTCACATTATTAAGCAGAGCACCTTTTTCAAGCAATATGGGGAAGAAAAAGAATCTCTCTGCTGTTGAAAAGAGTGAAATAGTTCAATGCCTTGGACAAGGTATGAAAACATTAGATATTTCACGAAAACTTAAGCGTGATCATTGCACTATTAAGAGATTTGTGGCTGATTCAGAGCACAGACAGGTTTGTGCAGATAAAGACACATTGAGGAAGATTTCTGCCAGATCCATGCATCGGATCAAGAGAGCAGCTGCTAAAATACCATTACATAGCAGCAAACAGATATTTGAAGCTGCTGGTGCCTCTGGAGTCCCACGGACATCAAGGTGTAGAGTCCTCCAGAGTCTTGCAACTGTGCATAAACCTTCTATTCGGCCACCAATAACCAATGCTCACATGCAGAAACGACTGCATTGGGCAGAAAAATACATGAAGACTAATTTTCAAACAGTCCTGTTCACTGATGAGTGCCGTGCAACCCTGGATGGTCCAGATGGATAGAGTAGGGGATGGTTGGTGGACGGCCACCCTGTTCTAACAAGGCTGCAACATCAGCAAGGCGGTGGTGGAGTCATGTTTTAAGCCGGAATCATGGGAACAGAGCTGCTCAGCCCCTTTAGAGCCCCCGAAGGTGTAAAGATGACCTCTGCAAAGTATGTGGAGTATATGACTGACCACTTTCTTGGTACAGAAGGAAGAACTATGCTTTCCATAATAAAATCATCTTCATACACGACAATGCACCATCTCGTGCTGCAAATAATACCTCTGCATCAATGGCTGTTATGGGAATAAAAGGAGAGAAAGTCATGGTGTGGCCTCCATCCTCCCCTGACCTCAATCCTATTAAGAACCTTTGGAGCATCCTCAAGCAAAAGATCTATGAGGGTGGGAGGCAGTTTACATCCAAACAGCAGCTCTGGGAGGCTATTCTGACATCTTACAAACAAATTCAAGCAGAAACTGTCCAAAAAACTCACAATGGTTCAATGGATGCAAGACTTGTGAAGCTGCTACCAAATAAGGGGTCCTATGTTACAATCTAACGTGACTTGTTAAAATGTTTAAAAAGTTAAAATGTTGTTAAAAGTTTGATTGAAATAGCTCTTGATTTCAGTAAATATGTTGCAAACACAACAATTGACAATTTTCAGTTCTTTACAACCTATAAAGTGTTTTGAAACTTACTGTGCATAATAATTTGGAACGGTGCATTGTAAGTGTTTTATGTTTAAAAAAAATACTGTTATCATTAGGAGGTTTGTTCAATAAAATTTAAATTGTACTCTTAATAGTTGATAACATGAGAATTATGCT